ATGGCCTGCATGGCAGAGTTCCAAGACGAAAACCACTGCTGAGCAAAAAGAACATAAAGGCTCGTCTCAGTTTTGCCAGAAAACATCTTGATGATCCCCAAGACTTTTGGGAAAATACTCTGTGGACTGACGAGACAAAAGTTGAACTTTTTGGAAGGTGTATGTCCCATTACATCTGGCGTAAAAGTAACACGGCATTTCAGAAAAGGAACATCATACCAACAGTAAAATATGGTGGTGGTAGTGTGATGGTCTGGGGCTGTTTTGCTGCTTCAGGACCTGGAAGACTTGCTGTGGTAAATGGAACCATGAATTCTGCTGTCTACCAAAAAATCCTGAAGGAGAATGTCCGGCCATCTGTTCGTGACCTCAAGCTGAAGCGCACTTGGGTTCTGCAGCAGGACAATGATCCAAAACACACCAGCAAGTCCACCTCTGAATGGCTTAAGAAAAACAAAATGAAGACTTTGGAGTGGCCTAGTCAAAGTCCCGACCTGAATCCGATTGAGATGCTGTGGCATGACCTTAAAAAGGCGGTTCATGCTCGAAAACCCTCCAATGTGGCTGAATTACAACAATTCTACAAAGATGAGTGGGCCAAAATTCCTCTACAGCGCTGTAAAAGACTCATTGCCAGTTATCGCAAACACTTGATTGCAGTTGTTGCTGCTAAGGGTGGCCCAACCAGTTATTAGGTTTAGGGGGCAATCACTTTTTCACACAGGGCCATGTAGGTTTGGATTTTTTTCCCCCCTTAATAATAAAAACCTTCATTTAAAAACTGCATTTTGTGTTTACTTGTGTTATGTTTGTCTAATATTTAAATTTGTTTGATGATCTGAAACATTTAAGTGTGCAAAAAACATTTAAGTGTGCAAAAAAATAAGAAATCAGGAATAACCCTGCGATAGTCTGGCAACCTGTCCAGGGTGTACCCTGCCTTCGCCCAATGTCGGCATCAGCTGGGATTGACTCCATCTCCCCGTGACCCTGAACAGGATAAGCAATTAAAGATGATGGATGGATGGATGACATTGCCATGCCGGGAGTCGCACTGTTAGGTGGCTGGGAAAATTGATGATCTCTGCAGCATGTATCATATCAGAAAGGGCCCATATTTGGCATCTGAACACTATGTTTCCTTGCTAATGATGTTATCGAGTCTCTCAGTCAGCTACAGCAACTAAGATCATACATACTGTAGGTTACAGTATACGGTCACTGGTTTGTTGCCCTGTTCATTCATTGTTGCTTTTTATCTGGTCGTGGTCAAGGATGGCTCTCAATTTTCTATTGCTCCTAAACGTTGCTGAAGACACACAAAACTGAGGGATACTTAACTACATGTTAGCGAGAGCTTCTGTTGGTCTAATCTAAGAACTGCTTAAAAAGCATAAAGTAACCAAGATAACCTGGCTGCCCTTGATTTATTTTTCATGAACCCTGACATTTGAATAAATTATATTACCCTCAGTATAAAGAAAAATTATCTTTTCTTATATTGACTGGTTGCACTTACGGACATTGAACGGAGAACCAACTGTTCCATCAGTCAAGTGAATTTTTCTGAGGATTTAATTGCATTTCATGGATCAGAACTTTACACGAAGCACAGTGAAATTTTGCTGTCGGACATTTTCCTCACACTCTAGAGTTTTTACCGAGTGAAGCAGGAACTGTGATCTTTGGTGGAGTCCACGTTTATTCTCCCCTTTACCACTACTAATCCCCCTGTATGTGGGAGACACTGTTGGCGGTCACGCACATGGACAGTGTTTTCATTTAGGGCTGCTGCAATCACCTAACACACCCACAAGTGACATGGGAATGTGTCTGGTCCGGTTACACACATACAGACGTACATTATGTGAACACACTGGATGAACTCCACCCTGCAGCCTTGCACTCAGAAATGGCAATCTTAGCTCCCATTTAAATAGATGTATTCTGTCAGTCATTTGCAGGGACCGTTAATTTACTGTTTATACATCATATCATCGAGTTATGGCGAGTTAGCTATGCTACACTGGTGTAATGCATGATTTCCTGCTTTTTTGTTTTTAACATTGTTGGAGCAAAATTTTGATTATGGTGTTAGCTTTTACCAGAAACATAAAATGTGTTCCTTCCTGTGTGCTCAATAGATTTTTTTCAGGAAAGCTCTAATAGAGTACCCTGCTACAACAGATCAGTCTTAAGCCACAAAGCCCATTGGGCTCACAAATCTCACATTTTCCTCCCACATTTAAGGTTGTGTCATCACGTTTGCTCACAGCCACTCCCCCAAACCTATATGTGAGTCATGCAAGACGTCATACGTTTTATATTTTGGATTCTGTGTTGTCCCATAGGTGGCGTTTGTTGAATTTTACGAGTAAAATCTACAGATTATCTTTTTGATAATTTTAAGTTTTGTAAGTGACCATTTTTGACTGGTAGTCATGAGCAGTCAACCTATCCTGCCCTTGATTAAAGATGAAAGATGATGACAGAAAAATGGGCAATAGAAAAGCACATGGGAGGTCTATATCTGGTGCAGAAATCTCACTTCTCAAAATACCTTTGCTGAATGTTGAGGCTCTGGATTTCTTTTTTTGTACTCGCTTTCCACCTCCCCCTCCCCCTCCCCTTCTCGTCTCTGAGGTATCCGTCGCAGATGTTCTGCTCATAAACATTAAGAGGCACCTGTCTCTCCTCTGGTCATAACATCCTCAACCCTGACTTCCACTTGGCAACATGGGCGTCTTCTATGCCTCGCTCCCCCCACTGCCTGTCCCACTTTCAACTCTTTCAGATTACATAAATAACATGACATCTGCCGAGAAAGAATGTCTGTCTGCTCCTGTGTTCTCCATTAAGGCCCCCCAGGCCCCGAGAGCAGTTTGGCCGGCAGAAAGATGTGGTGCTGCCTTTGGTATTGCGGCCTTGCTTCAGACACAAAGTGCCTGATAGTCTGAATAACTGTTTTCTGTCTGTCTCTCTGAAAGTCTCCCTGTAGGACTCCCCCGAGGCTGTCGTTAGTTTACCTAAATGTTTATTTCCTGTCTCTTATCTGTGAGTAGATCATGCAGCAAATGAGTGACCATCGCTATGACAAACTGACGCTGCCTGATGACTACGCTGCCAACTGCATCTACATGAACCTACCTAATAAGGGACATGTGCTTCTGCACCCCACAGCAGAACAGTTTCCAGAAAGTGCAAAGGTAACGCTCAGCTCATTTCACATCCACACACAATAACATTCATTTACAATCCTGAGGTCACAACTTTGGGAGGAAGAAACACTGTCAGGACAGCCAGACTGGTTTAGTGGCTTCAATTTAAAGAGCACTTGCTTTTGTTGCTCTCCATCCCGTCCAGACCTCTGAGATAAACAAGTGGCTGGAGAGGGAAACCCTACAGTATGTGGTTGTTTCACACAGACTGCCGCAGGTCAACCACAGCTAGCACTGTGTTTTTATATTAAAAGAACCTGCAGTTTAATGTGAAGTGACCTTTAGTGGACAGGGCTCGGTCCACAGATTATGGATGTGAATGGTCCTATAGAGAGTCAGCGTTTGGTTTGTTCGCCTTGGGCTGCTGTTGAAACATGGCGGTGCCCCGAAGAGGACCTACTCCTTATGTAGTTATAAATGGCTCATTCCAAGGTAACAACAACATAAAGATTCTTATTTTCAGGGGATTATACACTAAAGAAAACGTACTTATTAATATTATATTCCTTACTTCACACTGGCCCTTTTAAAGCTGCTGTAATCAATATGGGACAAATGTGTATGTGAAAGCAGTCACCAGATTATCACCAGACTGTGCAGTTTCCCCCAGCTCCACAGCGTGTTCTTAAAACCCATCCTCTCCAGCATTAAATAGCAGACCAACAGAGTTAGCAGCCAGCTGGTGAACATAATGGAGCATTTAGCTGCTCAAGAGCCAGATATTTAATTTAAAAGCAGGTGGAAACCAAACCATAGCTAAAAGCAAAGTTAATGTTGGACTTACATTCGTCAGGTGTACACAAACTTCACTTCAAAAGAAATGCTAATGTTGCTCCATATCTGCTGGATGTGTAAAAAAGCCGCTGTTTGTTAATGCATTTGCCATATCAACTTTATAGTATATCAGTGTGGCGTCTACAGCAGGACCAAAATAAATCAATTATTGCAGGTTTAAGTATCTAAAATGACGACATATATATCAGATGGCCTAGTGGTCTAAGGTCTACTCTAAAATAGAGTGGGCTAAAAGTAGAGAAAATTCCAAAAATGTATCATAAAAAAGAAGTATGCTACCCTGACTGCACCAATTCCTGATGAAAGTAAAATTACCTGCTGTTTTATAGAAAATTGTGTTTTTGTACTTACGGTTGCCAAGTTGGCACTATTTCAAGAACTCATAAGTGAAACGCCAAAATACATCTATAGGGATGAGAGTGATTTCAAAGAAATCTTGAGAGTTTCCCCCAGCGCCCTCTTATGAACTATTCGTATGGCATGTGTTCTGTGTTAAACTGTGAAGTGCTGTATGCTGGCTCGACAATGCCGGGTGAACTCCAACAGTGTCTCACAACCTTTCTAAAATGTATGTTAGACATACAGTGACCTACTTGCAAACACCATCAAAAGGGGTTGGGAAAGCTGAGCAGTAGCCGTGTTATTAAGATGCCTTGGGGTCACTCCTCATCACAACAAGTAAAATGGATTCTCACAGGATCCAACCCCACACCCTACAGTCTGCAGAGACAGGTTTCAGACCTCACAGTGTACTCTGTGGTTAAAACCCCTACCTCCACCATCTATTTATAGAGGGAAGAATTCACAAAATTATAGGTCCTTGGACTTAAATCCACTGCAGTGAATCATTTTTTTTCCAGGAAGATTATTTAAGGGAATTCAAGTTGAGCGTAATGAAAATCTATTCGTGTATCTTGTGCTTCCTGTTTTGGAAGCAACTGTTAACGGACCATTTCAAGCAATATTTGAGGAATGCATGTTAGTTCCATGATCCAGTTTCCTTTTAAATGTTCAAACCCACCAAAAATTGACCTGGAACACATTTTTTAGTCCAAACCTGTGTTTAAGGAATTGGAGCTTATGAAAGTGGAAAAATATGAACGGCACATAGATGAGAGTTGCCTATCATGCCTTGCTGTACAGTAAGTCCACAGTTGGTACATGTTTCCTAAGGGAACTTATTGCTGAACCACAGAGTCACTCTGCAAGACTTCTGCTGCTTTCTAACTCCAATCATTGTCTGTCCTAATCTCCGGTCTATTTTTAGTTTGCTTGTGAAGTTACATAAGAGTTCCACATTAACAAAGGCAGGGGGTCATGAGAGAGGATTGGTGGGGGTCAGAGGGTGTGGAGACGGGGAATCTTTAATGGTTAGCAGTGGCGACGGATCTGGAAGGTTAAGTTTGGAGATAAAGAAACTGAGCAGACAAAAGCCCTAGTGAAATATACCCAGCTCCTTCTCTGTGAGACCGTGCCACCCTCCAACCTAACGTATAAATATCACCTGAAGTAATGAGAACTCGGCTGGAAATGTATATCTAAATGTGCTCAAGGATTCACATATATAAAAAACATCGTAATTAAAACAAAGCATCATTTCAATGACCTTTGAACATCGCCATGTCAGTCACGACACATCATCAGGTAGATGCAAAAGTGTTTTGCCACTGTTAGTCAGCTTACGTTCTCTTGGATGCAGCGACACAAAATGTGTTGGTTTTTGAAATTAAAAGGTGATGTGGGAGATGACCCTGCCTCAGGCCTCGTGTGGTGAGGAAATATGACCCTGAATGCATCAAATTTGGATATATAATGCCAGGCAGTGATAGGTGAGGGTAAGCAGAATCAGAACAGGCAATAAAAAATGCTTTGAGAAAGAGTGAGCCTATGTAACCATGAGACGTCCTTGAGCATGCAGCCATAACTGGGCACCTAAGACATTATGCAGGTTTGTGGCAGCAGAGTGCGAGATTCGCCGTGGACAGAGAAAGAGGTGTACACTCACGGACACACACACAACCGATCGCATGATCTTTCTGGTGGAGATAATATCTATAATAATTAAGGCCAAAGGATATGATAGGATGGTGACAAATATCGGCTTTCACAGACAAAAATTCTCCCCGGGGAGGCATGCCCCTGGACCACCCTTGCTGGCTACATTCACCCCACTGGCTCGCGACTACATACTGAAATTGTAGAGAAATATGCATTAACACCATATTTTTAAGTGGTATAATGTGGTTACAGAAGAGCATGATGATGCAGTGCTATTGTTTAACTGTTTTGGGGAGAGAAGAGTCAAGAGTTATAAGGCACATGAGAGCGATGTCTTTAAACACGTCATTTGAATCACCAGAGGCCTCGTCAGCCATATTGCATCATGAGATAAGAATGTGTCTAGCTGGTCCCGCCACAAGGCCTCGCTCGGTATCACAGCAGGGTTGAAATGAGTTTAAAGAGAAAAATATCCTGGTTTGGAAGTCCAGTAGGAAAACACTGGTTTTCTTTTGGAAAAGGTCCACAGGGTGACACACTACTTTACGAGGGTCTTTTGAGAATGTCTTAATAGTTCTCACTCCCATCTTTTTTTAATATAGTTTGCCGGGAGACCAGGAAACCTTGTTGAATGCTTGTTCTCCTACTTCACAATTTGTGTCTCTTTGTGCGGGGCGTTTATATGACGAAACATTACAAGTTGTCAAGTGGAGTAAACAAACTTAAGCGTTGCATAAGCTCTCCCTTTCAGTTTAACTACTGCCAACTGGGCGGTACGTCAGTCTTTTCCAAAAGGCTTGTTGTAGTGCAGGCTGCACAATACCTATAACACTGCCCCACAGATGTGGTACCCAAGGGCAGAGTCAGGAGGCAAGTAAGGAACAGCTGTTGCAATGACAATATCTATTTTGTATTTTATTTTATTTTTTAATTTTTATGTGGAAGGACAGGTTCTTGATTGAACTATATCATAGCGTTAAACAATGATCGTCATGTCTGTGTGTCTCGCAGGTGTTTGAGAAGTTGAAGGACTACATGCTGATCCCCGTGTCCAACTTGGAGAAGGTCAAAGTTGACGGAGCCCTCACATGCTGCTCTATACTCATCAACAAGAAGGCCAACGTCTGAGCGTGCTCACCAGGGGGTCTCTCAGTGCATGGTTACCAAGCGGAGCCTGTATTCAATCACCAAGGATCCCGAGGTTTATCCAAACTATTTTGTGATTTAGGATAGGGAAGTTCGTTGTCGCTGAGGGTCAAAGAAAATATAAATTGGAGGGAATCATCTGGTCTCCCTTTTCCCTCCAAACACTCAAATTTCATTTAACTTTCTTAAAAATCTGTCAATACATCTGCTGACATAAATGTGGTTACTGTTGTCTCTTTAAGGATTGTGATATTACAGTAAAATCAGTCTTATTTGCTCTTGATTTGGATGAACTCTTAACATTTCTTTTCAAAAGCTGAATACAAGGCATAATCGGTCATGAATTCTGCCTATGTTAAGTTTAAGTCATATATGTTTTTTGAAAGTATGTACTCCAATTAGTCTACAAACTCGTCAAATTAGATTCTAGTTAATCTGAAGTAGAACATGTGCCATGTGGAGCATGTTTTAACGGTATTTTGGAGCAAAAGAAATCCTGCTTCATCTGTAATATGACAACTATGTTGAATTATTGCTGCTTCTTTACAGTTGGTGCTGAGTAAATTTCATGACTCTACATTACTTCAAAACCCCGAACATGCAGTTCTGTATTTTATGAAAATGCATGGCCATGTATCTGACCATTAGGTTGTTCTGATTTCTCTTATTAAAAATACAGTTCTTGAAAAGCTTTCTGGAGATATGAGGTATGATTGCACTGTTATGATTATTCACGATTGATATAAATACTGCCATTGAGACCTTAGGTGCTCTTATTTTTCATGACTATTACTTACTAATCATTGCTATTGAACTTACGGGACTAGATATGATTTCTGACTGATCGCACGCTGTTTCCACGCGTGTTCGCAGTGGTAGTTGCAAACAGGAGTTTAAAGGATGTTGTTGTACTCTGTGAATTCAGCAACAACAGAGATAAGGCCACCAAGGCCTTATCTCTGTTGTTGCTGAATTCATGTTTGAGGCCTGTAGATATGACAACATAGGGTATGTAAACACGTAAACTGTACATACACTATATACTGTACATCGTTAAAGCCCACCATATGTGAAACCATGTTTTTCTCAATATGATTGTAAGTGAAAGTTGAGGAAATGACATCAGGAGGCGATTGAACCGCCCTCTGTAGAGGTTTGCATATGGGCAAGTGGGCAGTGACGAAACATGGAAAGAATTCCTGTTGGGAGGAGAGGCTTGTACACCAGTAAACACTGACTCTTTTAAACTTTCTCTGTCTTTCTGCTCCGCTCTCAATACTCGTAACACTCGCTCTCTCCCACACACTCCTATTGCCTCATAGACAATTCCTGCTAATTTATGGCCATGATGTCACACAGTCTGGCGAACACCGTGAAGAGTGTGACACCAGTAGTATATTTTACAGAAGGCGGCTGGCTGGATGCAGGATGATAGCATAGTTGCAGAGCATCCAGTTCTGATTCTCACACACTGAGCCTGGCAGGACCAGTCATATACTGTCAATCATTGGATTTGATCTAACTTTCTCATCCCCTCTCCCATTGCTCCAAATCACCCATTGGTTATACAGCTCTGGGGCAGCATAACCTTTTCACTCATTTAAATTCAAAACATTTAATACATTTTTGGCTCTTGGCCGGCAAGGCTGTCTGTGAGTAACTGCTCTTGAAAATGTGTTGACTTTGTCGAGGGTTTATTCCTCTTACTAATCCCCTCACTCATCACAGTTGTCATGATGTTGTGATTGCCCTTGTTCCAACAGAGGTCTTTTGGATTTCATACAAATTGTGAGTAATAATCATTTGAGTCATCTTCAATTAAGCCGTTCGTCTACTTTGTGTAATAAATTAACATCTAGCATTCAACTGTGTTGTGCTTCTTTTAATTGTCAACTTAGCCTCAGCTTTGAAGGTTAACTTGGTAAAGAATTTCATTTTCATTTATATTTAGTGTAACAGCTTTTGACAATATATAACGCTTGAGGACAAGGTTGGTATAGATCATGTGGCTTCATCAGGTGAGATAGAACACAAACCTGAAGCAAAATCAAACTGTTTTTAGTAGAATAACTAGCTTTGTCTCAGAAAGGATTCACTATGATGACACACAGACAACCCCATGTCCCGTTGAGTTCTGCTACCACCTAGTGACACCCAAATGTAAGACAGACCAACATACGGTTTGTATCCAGGCACAATGCATTTGCTGTTTGGTTGGTGACAAGAAAGGCTGCTCAAGTCGGTTAAAACTGCTTAAATCTCCAACAATAAAGTAGTATGGACCGATGAAAGTGTAAATGGTTGACAGGAAATGCAACTTGAAGAAAAACAGCTTTTCATCGTTTATTGACAAAAATACAAACCTGCATAATGCAATGTATAATGAACACAACGTTAAGAGGTTTACAAGGACATGAGAAAAAATAAGACAATTGAAAAGATCTGAAAAAAAACCAACAAGTTATCTTTCATGCGTGAAATAGCAATAGTAATAGTCCCAAACCCTCATGGCACCTTCACGTTTATTTTCACATACTCGACACAGAAGGTTACAAATACAATTGAAATTTAGCATTTGAATATATCATCCTCTGAAATCTCCTTCCTTCCCTTTTTGGTCCAAGGTACTCTAAGCTAACTGCAGGCTACCACCTGGTAATTACTGTAAACAGGTCTTATAAGATAAAAAATCTTCTTGACCACCAAAGCCATTAAGTGGGGTCTTTTCTCGTAATCTCACAAAATATCTCGTCATCTAGGTTCCCTCTTGTGGACATAAAAAGACAGCAGTCCTGAACTGTATATACAATTACCAATATAAAAGAAATATTACAATAAGGTATGCTTAATTATCTTCAACATGTTAACCAAAAGCTTGAACTGTCATAGAAATGTTATATTCTTGTTCTCAAATGTTGATTTGTCCACCTTTCAAAGAGACTGTAATGATGGGAGAGAGAATGCAATGATTAAAACTAATCCCCATTATACTATGAATACATGGTAACACGCCTTTGTGTAAGCGTCTGCACCAGTGGAAGTAAAGTACAGTTGCTGTTCTGTACATTTAGCTACAGGGGAAATTAGTATAGAGGTTGCCTGGCCCCCTTGCAACAGTGACCTTGCAGTCGATTCTGTCTGCAGGCTCAGCCAGAGGCAAGTAGGCATGGTTAAGAAAGTCACTGCCAGAGCAGGGTGGGATACAGACTGAGCCATCAGGGCAGGAACCCTGACATGTTTGGAAGAGCTCATCGCTCATCTCCGGGCCTCCTTTCTCTCCAACTTCCTCGTAGACATACTTGTTTCCTTTCGGGCAAAGAATGACACTGTCTTTGTTCAGAGTCACATAGTCTGGAAAGACTTTCGTCCCGGGGCTTCCATCTACCTGTTCTCTGCTGCAGAACTGTCTTTCTAATGACAGGAGCCTGGTGGATACCCCTGATTGGGAAACGTCATCTTCAGACATTATCTCCACCACAGATGAAGTGGTTTCGTCGGAGTACTGCTTTGCTGTTATCAGAGGATTCTGTAGTGTGAGCACAAAGTATTTAATTTGTAACACCTCTTTAGATCGCATCTATTTGGCTTAATTAGTCATGGCCAAAATCTATTTTTCTACCAAGGAAATAAAAGCATCTTCATTATTGTGAAGTATTGGTGCATGTATCATGTATCATACTATTAAGTAGAATAATTTACCCATTGCGGCCCAGTGACCTCTGTCAGAAAACTTTGTAGGACTTTGTCAAGGTCGGGCACCGGCGGCCAAAAATACAGCTTGAGTTTACTATAAAAACACACAAAACAACAGACAAGAATATAATCTTCAAACAATGCAGAACGTTATTAAAATAATTGGTTCAACATTTTGGATAGCATTTAGTTAGAAATAGTTTTATTTAATCAATTTAATAATAAAACAATGTTTTAAGTTGATTGTATAGTACAAATTGATATCCATTTGAAAAGAAATGGATGAAGGTGTCACATACTTTCACAGGAGTATTTTTGTTTGAATTGTTCCTACCTGTGGTACGTGGAAAAGAAGGAGATGAGGATGATGGCAATCATCAGCATCAAGACAGGTATACACAGCATGAGCAATGTGCCTGTAGAGGTTATTTATACTGGGTTAAGGTTTGAATATTTAATGAGCGTAGCAAAGAACTGCATTTCATAGGTCTATAATGTTAATATTTGTATATCACGGCACAACAGTGTATTTTTTACACTACACTACGACATAATCAAATTTGAATAAACTGCTTGTGAAATTCAAACAAAATTACAGACTGGGAATCGGATAAACCGCTCCATTACATTAGCTGCAATTTTGCCACTTTTGATCATTTTTATACAAACACACGGGATTACTAAATGATTGTGTTTTACACTGACTTGTTGATCTTACCTATATCAGCAGGGACGTCGCCAGTAAGCACATTTGACCAGTCGCTCCAGTGTCCTGAGTAAATGGACCCATTAGGTTTGGCTCTGATCTTAACACTGTAACGGCTACCTGTTGGAACCTCTCGACATGTGCCCGTCTCAGGGCCCTTTAGGGACTTCTGGGGACACAAAGGTTGATTTTCATATTCAATTGTAAGAACATTAAAGGACAATCTTAGTGATGACATACTCATTTTGCATTCTGCATTTCCCTTGAGATATGTTTATGTTCCCTTGCAGTACTGCCTTTCAATGCATTTGTTTTCCCTTCTATGAATACTGTTTCATTTGCACACATATTCTTTGCATTTCCTCATGTTTTGGCAAATTAAGTTATTTTGCAACACACAGCATGGTTCATTTAATATAAGGTAATATAACCAATATCATGAATCATGTTTCTGATTTTTCACTTTAAATGTGTCATTGTATTGTAATACTCCATCTGGTGGTAATATTGACCACTCACAGCCCTACTCAACAAACAAAACTTTCCATTGGAATAATTAGAAAATAATAATTCATACAGATATTATATTTAAATAAAATTCTACCTATAGTAATTTTAGTTTACTATTACGAAAAAAATGTTGTGATGGAATCTGAAATGTATCAGGGAACACAAACATATTTTGAAGGGAATTTTAAAAAGATAAAACATGAAATTGTGTTGCTGTAAAGGACATCTTACAATCCATGCTTCACCCTGGCTGATCTGGCAGCTGACTTCATACTGCAGGTGAGCAGACAGAGACAGAAGAGGAGCTTCCCATTTCAAGCACAACTTGTCTTTTTCCAATGTTCCTTTCAGATGACATGGTGGGGATGTTTTGACTAAAACCAAACAATAGAAAAAAATATAAATTTGAGTCTCCTTTTTGTCAATTGTCATCACATTAAAATACTCTTCATGAAGTTGAAGAAATACAACTAAAACATCCAAAAAGAACCAGAAAATGATAAGCAAAAATCCCTCACCGCTGTTGCTGAGAGTGAACTCTTGAGTATATAAGGTTCTGCTGAGTGGAGCTGAAGTGCTGCTGAGCTTGACCCGGACTCTTCTGGACTCCTCTCCACGGAAATGGCACAGTTCAGTCACGTCGCTGTCGGCGAGACACTCTGTCCATTCTGTCCAGCCCAAATCTTCACTGTAATATCAGAGAAAGAGATGACAAACAGAATGGTTTGCAACATTATTGTTGTTGAAAGTAATGCTGTGTCTAGTGTTTACTGTGAAGGATGTTAATAACTTTGAATTCAACCAAAAGTCAATTCAACATGCTGATATATTAGCATAGCATGATCTGAGGAATTGTACTCCTCAATGATAGAATGTAGTAAGTAATGTACCTGAGGCCCATCTTGTACAAAAGTTTGTACACGTTCTCTTCACCATATCTGCTCCCATGCCAAAGACAGGTGATGTTTTGCAGGTCGGATGTGTAGCACATTAGAGAAATATCATCTGAAAGAAGAGAAAACATTTCTCATTCAAGTGTTGCATCTGTGACAGAGGAGGTGACAGGATGAGATGCTGCGCTATGGATAACAATTGCCATTCACTCAGATGCACACTCTTTGTTATTTAGACACACCTGCACTTTGGGGAACCACGGCTCGCACAGGGTGTGACCAGCCGCTCCAGTGTCCTGTATTTGGATTAGAGGCACATCTGACGGAGACCTGGACCTCAACCTCCTCCCCTGGTACCAGAGAGTCTAGTATGCTGCACTCCTTTGTCTGTAGAAATCACATACTCGAAAATGAATATTGTAAAATATACAAAATTATACATTTAACTTTATTTTACCGGCTGTAATTACCAATACAAGACTACATGTGAAGGAGGGTTACAGATAGTAAAATTATACAATGTTCATATAATGGACAAAAAACCCCCACAGAATCAGTGATGTGTTAAATTGATCAGTTAATAAATCAATATCATAACTCACAAGCTGGCACATTAACTTGACCTCAATTGACATCAATTCCCGGCTCCACAACATACTATACTATGACTTTTTATGACAAACTATACAATTACTATTTCTTGCAATAAATATAGTGTAACTTTTATAATATAATTTTAATGTCACACCACAACTTTCTATGACACACTAAACTATTAGTTTAAAAAAAATGTCAACAGATTATACTTGTTAATGACATATTTATGGCATTTGTGTGACATGCTATACTATTATTTTCTATGACATACGTCATTTGTGTGACTGTTTTAATGACATACTATTCTCTTCCTACTCTTTTTACTTTTAAATGATATACTACACACACTTTTTTAATGTAATCCTACTGTTTTCGATATGCATTGGTATGACCTTTTTATGATTTTTTAAATTATTTTTTAAATAAATTTGATATATTTTCTCGACATGCTTTACAATTAATACTTTTTGCCATGCTATCCTATGACTATTTCCAACCTGCTCTTTGACTATTTTTGACATGCTATTACAAGTCTTTTTTTTATAACTTTTTATGACAAACTTTTTTCAAAATGTATACTGTGACTTTTTTGACATATACTATGACTTATAATTACTTTTTTTGATATATTATACGATTCATTTTTCTCACCTTTTTGAACGTACAATTACCTGCACTACATCCTGCAACAACTTGACTCTTTGGAGAAATATGCAAGGATCCTGTTTGTTTCTGTTCTGTTTGATTTTGAGCAAAGCTGATGGCCACAGACTACAACGGACAATTTGGACTGCAAAGAAAACCATTGGTGCACAATGCACTTCATCCAGGATGTCCAGAGTCAGGAAACAGGCAGGAAACATCATTGCAGACCCTTCACACCCTGGACACAGCCTGTTTCAATGTCTACCCTCTGGGAGGCACTACAGAACACTCTTATTTCAAAACTACCAGACACAAGGAAAGTTTTTTCTTGCAGCCTCTCACTGTAAATAACTATTAAATAAGTCATACACTGTCAGTGACCTTATACTGTATCACCAAAATATCCACTGCTGCCATTAAATATAATCATTTTACAATTTCTAATATACAACTTTTAAAAATATTTGACATCTGTAGCTGTAAATATCAATCCTATAGGCTGCAAATGCACTTTCATCGTGCATGCACATATTCTACACAAGCACACTGTATATCCATTGTGTATTTATTTCTTTGCACAATTTGAACAGCATGCAACTTAAAGAATACTGACTTGTATATAGACATTTTCTTTATTTTAGTGTTGCTCATTGCTAGTTTATAAATGTGTGTATTTGTACTAGTGCGGCAGATTAAGTCAATATTCCATTACAATCTTTCACTTGGTGATACAAGCACCAAATTTGGCATGAATAATGCCTACAAACTACTCTTTCAGAAAAGCCCGGTAGGCCTATCCACCTGAAAATCCAAGATTTTTTAAGATGGCCGTCGCCGAAAATGTGAATAGGTTTTTCAGTGTAGAAATTGAATGGCTGGACATATTTTAATAATCTAGACATCAAAATGTATGTATTTCGACACGAGAAATTCAATGGTGGCAATAAAAATGCAATATGGTTGCAATTTTTCAAGATGGCGGCCATTTGTTACTCAAAATTCACAGTTTTTGTTGTTCTTTGATCAGAGATTAGGTTTCAGCTGGATGAAGTAGTCGTCCAAGTTCCAAGTTATCTTTTTGATCCAAATTAAAATGTTTTGGTTGATCTATATGAGGTGACATTCTGTTTATAAAAGAGTGATGTCAAAGCACAACCAGGGCACACTGGTGACATCATTGCTGTGAGACTCAGCATGGGGTTCTGTGTCGGCTAATTAGTGTACTAGCTGTAGTTGTAGTCTACTAACTGTAGTGCTAACTGTAGTTCTAGTATAGTTTAGTGTCCCAAATGCTATCTAATTAGCCCTGTATATCTGTAAATCGCATATATTGGCATTTGCTGGCGGCCATCTTGGAAAATGGCGGCCATATTGTTTTTCCATCGTGGATACCGGGCTTTTTTGAAAATATAGGTCTTGAAGATAATTTGTGGCAAATTTGTTGCTTGTATCACCAAGTGAAAGATTGTTTCACTAATCTGCCCCACTATACAACTCGTTTTGTAACTACTTGTGTACATAACAGTCCTGTCTATTCTTTATGTGTGCAGCTTTGTTGTCCTCGACCCTACATGTTATTTATATTTCTATGTAAGTATATTGAGAGAGTTGGGGAAATAAAACAGCATCAAATTCCTTGTATGTTTATGCATATTTGGCCGTAAATCTGACTGATTCTGATTAGACTTTTTTATGACATTTTTTTGTGAGATACTAGCCTATATATTTTTTTTAATTTTTAATGACATACAGTACTATGGATTTTTAAATGAAAAAATACTACTATACTATAACTTTGTTGTTGACATTTTTATGACAACTATAGGAGGCTTAGTATACGATGACTTTTCTTGGTGAATTTCCTAAAAGAAATTAGTTTATGTGACTTTTTTCAACATGTTATACTATGATTTTTCCAAGAGTATTTTTGACATAGTTTGTCAAGACTTATTTCGACATTCTATCCTATGAATTTTATATGGTTTTTTTTTACAATCTATACTGTGACATTTTTATGTCTTTTTCTCAATATTCAATACGAAGTCTTTTTTTGTGTTTTTTATGACATTTAATGCTATGACATTTCTCAACTATGACACACTATTTTTTAATTACATTTTTGAATATATAATACTATGACTTTTTCTCACTTTTTTGACAATTTATACTATGACATTTTCATGAATTATTACGACATACTGTAATATGACTTTTTTGACATGCTATGCTATGACTACTTTTATGACAATTTTCGACACGCTATACTTTTTTTTTTTTTTAAATCTTTTTCAACATGCTATACTATGAACCATGACTTTTTATGACTTATTTCACTATTCATTACTAAGACTTTTAAAAACTTTTTTAAGACTTTTTTATGAAATAGTATACAATGAAGTTTTGTGATATGCTATGATATCACTCTTTCATGACTTTTTTTAACATGCCATGCTATGACTTTTTAAAGATTTTTTTTCATACAATACTATGGCTTTTTCTCACTTTTTTGACATTTTATACTATGACTTGTTCATCATTTTTTTCAAGAGACTTTACTGAGTATTTCACTCACCTTATTGACACAGTATACTATGACTATGAATTTTATGACTTTTTCATTATGCAATATTATGACCATTTCACACTACCACAATTTCCTAATGTTTCTTTTTCACATCTACAATTACTTTTTTTATCATGCTATACTACGAATTTTACATGACTTTTTTTTCGACATACAATACTATGACACTTTTATCCACTTTTTAGGACATACTACATTTGTTTTTCTTTTAGATGTACTGTAATATGAATTTATTTACTTGCTAGGATTTATTTATGACTTTTTATTAATATAATATGATTTTTTTCCTACTTTTTTGATATATACTATAACTATATATACTATAACTTTTTTTAACATGCTATACTAAGACCATTATTATGACATTTTTCTAGATACTATACTATGATTTCTTCATGTCTTTCTTTGACATATTTTTGACATGCTATACTATAACTTGTATATGACATTCTATACCATGTATTTTCATGGACTTTTTTATGACATTTTTGTTACATGCTCTATGTAGGTGCTGAACTGAGATAAAAGACAAAAGTGTTTCACAGTAACTCACATGCTGGTCATACCATTACTTAAATAATATATAAACTGTCTAATGCTCACACACAGGACGTGCGAGTTGAAATTATCTCATGGATTTGTCGAGAAGCTGTGTGCATGTGTACCTCTTTTATCTTCTCTCCCAAACTGTTGGATGAGTATCGAATCTTATACATCACATGCCCTTCAAAGTATTTTGTGACCTTTATGTGCCATGAAACTTCCAGCTGTCCTGCTTGGCCATTTTGGTTTAAAGACACACTGAAGGGTGGATCCAGGAGCACTAGAGGAAAAAAAAGGTGATCAAAACACACGGAAGACCACATCACAGAATCCATTGAAGAAAATAATTCACTGGTGTTAAGGCAACAGGTGAGAAGGCCCCTGTCTTTTTTTGGTGCATGACCCTAATGACTGGAGCAAAAACCCAAAACATACTAGAGGGATATAAGTCTTTCATCGTGTGGGGGTCCACCTGGGGATACCCACAATCAGCCAACCCTGTTTGTTTAGCAAACATGCCTTCTCTTCCCTCTTACATCACGTTTGTGTGTCTTTGGTCCATAATGTATGTCATTGTAGTGAGACCATTTTTTAAAAACTTGACATCAAATACAGAAATACATCATCCATTCCTATATCCTGTTCAGAGTCACGGGGGGGGGGGGCTGGAGCCAATCACAGCTCTCGTTGGGCAAAGCCAGGGTACACCCCGGACAGGTCGCCAGACTATCGCAGGGCTGACATATATAGACAGACAACGAGACAGACATCAATTAACCTAAGCTGCATGTCTTTGGACTGTGGAAGAACCCGTAGAGAACCCATGCTGCCACGGGGGGGAACATGCAAACTCCACACAGGAGGCCCATCAAGCCCAGGAATTGAACCCCAACCCCTCTTCCTGTTAGCCACCACACCACCGTGCAGCTGCAGAAATCTCCAAATGTCAAAATGTTTTGATACTAAACTGCGTGCATGGTGTTCTGTTGTAGTGATTAATGTGTTTTTTGGAAGAATTGTTGATATTTTTATATCAATTTATGAGATTACAATTCAAATCTATGTCATAAATGGCATCAGTCCAAATATTGCTTCAACAACTTATGAGACACAATTGAGTATCCAAGATAATGTTCTTAGGACACTTTTACAATTTATCTGAAATTAAATGATTCATAAATTGATTTTTATTTCTGATCTATGTCAACAACTTAACACACACTGCTAAGCTGCATACTGTTGACCTTTTATATACCCCTGGACATCCCCTATCCCCAACCCTAAAACAGGAGGAGGGGATAGTAAGTTATAAAGCAGAAAGCTTCATGTGTGTGTTCTTTTTTTCCAACAAGAGATTCATCTATTTTGATACGCTTTTTTTTTTATAAGTAAATATTGTAAAAAAAAAAAAAGTCTTACATTGGTCCTCCACACAGACAACGCGACTGTAGAGGCGGGTGTTGGTGTTGCGCTCCACCACTTCAAGGTGTATTTCCACAAACAAGAAAACATCGGACCCAGGAAATGAGCAGATATGAAGTAAAGTTCCGACTTCTGTTCTCTGGACAGACATTTCACACCTTTTCTTTCCAGGCAGGCTTGATTAAAATAAATGACAAAAATAATAGACATGGTAGTATATATTAAGCAATCAATCAAACCATTTGCAATCTTTCATACAGGTAAGTGTAGTTCAAAGTGCTTTAAGGTGACTTGTAGATGAAGTAACACGCGTCAGGTTCAAATGTAAACTCTAAAAGGAAAGATTAAACATAAATATTTGGTTGGGTTTGGTTGATATGGGTTTATGAAGTTTCTCCTAGACCTGTGTTTTTGTGGAATAAACACTAATACTAATGAACAAAAAAAAAAAACATTAAATATATAATAGCCAAAAAGTCAAAAGTAATACAAATTCCAAACAAAATAAATCAGAGAATATTAAATGATACAAGACTCTTTAAGGGCCCTTAACATACAAAACACAAGTTATTATAAGTTATTGTATATAAAACATACCTATCAGACTTGTAGAGTAAATCATAAGTTCTGTTGTCTGCAGTCTCAAAGAAGCAGGTAAAATCCTGTTCTGTGCGGCTGAAACATTTAGGATCCAGGTCATCCTCTAAGAGCAAAACATCTGCTCCAGAAATGAAAAATATATTGACATATAAATATAACATATTTTTTAAATGGCAAGATGCTAAATTGTAGAAAAAAGTTAGTGTGTTCTTGTTGTGCAAAAACAAGATGACGTGTGGAAACAAGAACCATTAATTGCCAGGACATACTTATTATCTTCTACTTTCTACTTCTACTTTCTACCCATAATTAACATCTTGTTCTCACATGACTTTTGAAAAAACAATATATTTTGTGACTTTAGTGTTGCTGTGTCATATAGTTAAGTCATTATTTTCAGTGGCAATAAACAGTAAATGAGAAAATGCAGCTGTTAATTGGATTCAACATTAGTTTATAGCGTAATTCAACTGTGCAAAAACGATCCATCATTAAACCCTACCTTCACTTGACAGATGACTGACAGTTCCATCCTTGCAATGTATCCCAGGGACAAAGCCCACTTGTATCCACAAACTAATAAGGAGGATCTGCCAATTCATTGTAGATTGAGGTATTATGTATCCTAAACCACCATAGCACTTAAACTAACAACGCACTTGCTTTTGTGTGTGCATTGTGTGTGTTGTCTTTCATGCATGGTTTTGAGTAGGCATGGGTGGGTAGGGTTGATCAGTGCTGAGGGCTAGGCTGTGCTTAAAGCAGGAAGCGTGCTTTGTGTAAAGCCTAGTGGAAGTACGCACCAAAAAAAGGCAGATTTCTTTTAACTGAAACTATGGAAATATGTTATTTCTGTTTACTCTCAAACACTCCTTCTTATTAGAGACAATAATAAATCCCCCATTTGCTGCTGATGAAACCTAGTATATGCTTCAGTCCATCATCTGGCTGGGTTTGCAGTTTTTTTCCTTGCTCTAAATACAAATATAAATTTAAAGGATAACTATGGAAAACACGAGAGATGATGAGTGCTTCACAAACTTCAAGTTCCTGTGGGACATGTAATCTTAAACATATCCCATGATATATAAAAAACAAAATCTAAAATCACTCTAAAACCAAAATATTAACTTGTATGAACAATTTCAAGGAAACTGAGTTCCTGTCTTTCTGTCTTAATTAAACTGACCCCAATTTAACAAACATCAGTGGATTGTTTACGTGTATACAATTAAATGAAAGTCCATTACATGTTGTTTAGAGCTTAAATAACATATTGCCATCAAAATGCATTTAAATTTCTTGTTAAGTATATTATATTTTGTATGGATAGACCTTGATAATTTATAATAAGCTACATACTCTCATCTAAAATCGTGATAGCATCAACATGTCTCAAAAGAGTCATTTGTATCTCAAAATAACTGGTGAACATACAAAGGTTCACCTTGAGAAGTCTTGGTCATGATTCAAATCAACTGTGAATACACCTGCACTTGTGCATGTTTAAGATAAACGACTTGTGGCTCTGACAACAGCTCTGGATTCATTTTAAACCTCTGAAGAATGGGACAAAAGACCTGACTTTTCAAGTCTGCTGCTGACTGAACAGCCGTGCAACAAGTGCTCAGGACTGCACAACATTGGGTCTTAAACACCAGATAACATTGACATAAAAACCACTACCTCTGGAGAAACTAACATTACCAAAGATCCAACCCACCTCAGCCACTTCCACTTGGCAAACACTACAGGACATAAAATGCCTCTGCATCTATAATAAAACAGACAGCCTCTTCCCAAGAGCTCTCTAACTTTCTCAGCTGAGCACTGCCAGAGTGCCAGAGCTGTTATCCCTCCAACCAGTAGTGTCAAAACCCCCTGACAACACACCACATCCCCAATACTGCTTGTACCAGCAGCTCTGCTCACACTAGGAAATTACTTCCAGCTCCAACACCAACACCCTCAATGCTGCTTCAGATCAACTCTAGCCCCCACACATAGCCTTCACCCCAAGCCACCCTCTCTCCTGGCCCAAACACCTTACAATCTTACACCAAAAGTCCCAGTATAATTACCATTTCCCTGCTTTTTTTTTTTTTTTTTTTTTTTACAAAAATAGAATAAATTATATTTTTGTGCCAGATATGTTTGCCTTTTCATAACGTAACAACGTGCTGAGGTAACAGATGGGGCTTCAGTAATGCCTATAGAGCGAGTGCTTGATATTTCAAAATCATTTTTAGCCCAATTTCAAACAAGGGACAGAAATCATTTTTGTTTCGTTCCCTTATTACACATTTGTGTTGTTGTATAGTCGTGTCTTTGTGTGGCAGTCCTCAGGAAGCTGGCCCACTGAGACCATGTTTGACAGACACTTATGCGCCTGCGGTTGGTTAGCGAAGGAAACCCAGTGACAGATCAGCTCAGTGCAGCAGGGGTATCAGTGTTCCTTTGGCCCCCAGCAGCTTGACCTGTGGTTTCCCCATCATTGCTCACTTTTGAGCAGGCAAGCGACAACAACAACAACAAAAACACAATCATCTTTGCTAGCGTCAACATCCTTAGTGTCACAAAAACTGCAGTTTATAACTGAAAACTGGACTTATGCTAATAGAACAGCTACCAATGTGGTGATGAGTCCAGTCACCACACAAAACCTTTATTCAAGGAACCAGTTAATGAAAACATACTGTACATTCTCATACAATGGATACATTACCGTACAGTGCGTTAGGTTGCATAGTGTTAAAGGTAAACTATAATGTTGATAGCTGGCAGACTAGCTGTGTATCTGCCCTAAATTAGTAACATTTTCAAAACAACTTCTCTTGTGGTGGACCTTTGCATGCAACACATGGAGCATCTACCATGGTTGCATTTATGTCGGCCTGTATCTTTGACTACATTCGGATAAGAGGCTTTGATACATCCTTGTGACAAAATATATACAGTAGTAGTTACATTCACATGGCAGTGATAGGCAAACAGTAAAAGACACCAATGGCATGAATGAGGCTGGTTTAAGTGCTACAATGTATGTTTCTTTTACCCCTTTCTAACAGTCTGAGAACTTGGATATTTGTGATTCACACTGTGTCCTTTGAATATCATCTTCATAAAAAAAAAAATTCCTTCTCCATTTAGACCAATAGAGGGAAAATAAAGTCATATGTCGACACCCCACAGACCCTGTGGTATTTTACACATAGCTCCTCATTTGCTGCATCCCCTCAACAGTCAGAGAAAAGGGTCCAGCATTGTAACATTTGCAACAGTAAGAGGTACAATGGTGTGTCTTTTTTCTGGGACTGGTTTGTAGTAATTTGGGCTCAGCAACCCATAAGGTTGGTAGCAATCACATCTATCCATCCAAGGCCTAGCAACACTCTTCATTTCCTAATGTCTCTGATACCTCCACACAGTGTCCTTTCACAGTCCTCCATCTATAGCTGGGTGGCTTTGGTAGAGCGCCTGGTCCTCCTGTCATGACGTTGAGCGGCAGGGGGGTTGCAGTAACGTGGCGACCATCCTCGTGACTTCCTATTGGGGCTACGTGGCATGCTAGGGTCTGGGGGGGCTTGTAGTCAGGCCTCCTCGGCTGTGGCGTCTATTCCAGCGTAGGTGAAGTTCTCAAAAAGAGCCATGTTCACATAAGCCTGGAAGATGTATAGAAGCTGTTGTGTTTAAAGAGTTTAACACATAATCATGCTGGAGTCTCATAACCCGTTCATGTCATTGTGTACAGACCACACTCGGAGAGAAGAACGAGAGAAATGTCAATAAACTGGTGCCAAATGGCTGCAAACATACAATTTGCAAGAGTTCAGTGTAAATAAATTCCAACAGTAACACTCTATATGTGAGTTGACAAACCAAATAGCTATATGAAAATGGCATTAAAAAATTATACAAACGTCTGTATGACTTTAGGTGTAGCTATCTTGGAGGGATGTTCACTCCAAGATAGCTACCCTCCACTCCACTCCTAAGTATTAACAACAGGACATTTTCCGAGTCTTCCCTTTCTCCCGACTGTGTGTGAATGCAGCATTACCTTCCTGGCCTCCTGCATCCTGTTGAGCTGGACAGAAACTTGAGAGAAGGGGGGTCGCTCGTAGGGCCGATCCCTCCAGCACTGTTTCATCAGCTCATAGCTGGACAGAGAAATAGACATTGATGAATAGGGTAGAACGGAGGACAGAAAGACAACATAAGCTAATTAATTATTAGCTGAATGCCGAATACTTACACCTCATCATCACAGTTTTTGGGTTTTTCCATCCTGAAGCCTTGTGGCAGTTTTTCATAAAGCTCAGCGCATGTCATCCCACAATATGGTGTGCCACCTGACACACACACACACACACACACACACACACCCACAAGAAAGACAGAAAATGCTTTTTTGATGTTGATGGTGGGTTGAGCAATGGTGAGGATTGTCACCATCATGTTTCCACCACAGGCTGTATGGTTACTTACCTAAGCTTACAATTTCCCAGAGGAGAACACCGAAAGACCACCTGGGAGAGAAAATGCAAGGACAGAGATGTTTTTAAAGTAAACATGGGAAGAAAATAGCATTGTTTTAAGAGTTACACCTGAACATTTTTTTAACTTGATCATATGTGATATAAGGTTAAAACGTTGTAAAGAAACCTGCATAATTGCATACTTGCTAATCTACATATACAGTAAATTTTGAATCCAGTAAACGTAATGCATTATAAGGTCTGAAATGCTAAACATTTAAATAAATAAATAAATATGCTCAGGAATTTAATGATAATGCAGATGTTTCTCAACATCAATGCGGAAAGAGACAAGAACCCGCCGAGTGTCTCAAACAACATGAAACCACCTTCGTTACTACAATCTGATTCGTGACACAAAAAGTGCCATTTGTTTCACATGTCACAATGCCGTGTGATAGATCATATGTGCAGACAAGTGTTGCTTGTGGGGTTTGTCTTTGTTTTTCTCTTCTCGCTCTGTCTCAGATCTTGTTCATTGTCTCTCCCTTTCACTCTGTTTCTCTTATACTGATGTTCACAACTCTCTCTGACCCTACAGCAGCCTTCACACTTCTTCCGTTAGCTGTCCTCCACTCTTCATGTCTGTTCTCAACCGTGTATAAATAGGCTCCAGTTGGCAGACCAACGTCTCAGTCTGTCTGCTAAGGTGAACCCAAGACTTCCTCCTTGTGCTTATCAGTTACACAACACTTACAGAACTAGTATCACTCCACCAGTGACCAGAGGGGGGATTTGTTTGCAACCTCATGAGCCTGCCATGTCACTCAGAATATGTTTTGCATGTTGTATGTAATTGAAGCTCCGGTGTGACAAACATTGTGAGCTTTGCCTCCCTTTAAAAAACTCCACCTGTTGAGGTGGGTGCAATGAGAATGACATTGGTTGAGCTGATGAGTTGACACTGTACACTCACACATCACTCTTGGTCGTATACACGCTGTAGTTCAGGGACTCGATGGCCATCCAGCGCACAGGCAGCCTCCCCTGAAGGCAAAAACAAGACATTTATATTAGTCTTCTTAGCTGATGTCAATAACAATAATCCACTGAAATACATTGAGTGCAAAATGACTAAAACAACTAGTGCCCTCTGCTGGCTGTTGGTTGTTTTCTGAAAATAAAAGTGCAACTGTGTATGACTCCGCCACTCACCATTGTCTTCTTAACGTAAACTTCCTCACCCCGGGACAGGCCAAAGTCTGCTATCTTTGCCACAAGGCTGTCCCCTACAAGAACATTCCTGGCTGCCAAATCCCTGTGGATGAACTAGTGCCAAGAGAGGGTAGGAGAGAGAGAGAGGAGGCATTATTTAATTAACATGTTTTTTATTTAGTTATTCAATGACTTCATCAACATCCTCTGTCACGGAGCTTGTTTGAAAAGAATTCCTTTTTATGAGAGACATAAAAAACTGAGGAAAGAAAGATGCCCCTATCCACACAAAATAATAAACAAGCAGCGACACACACGCACTCTTTCACCTCCTACCTGTTTGTCACTTAAATAGTGCATCCCAGTTGCCACGTCTACAGCGAACTGCAGCAGCTGCTGGGAGGTGAGAGTGGAAGCAGTGCCATGCTCCTTGGCAAAGGCGGGATCGGTCTCCAACACTCGACTCTTCCTCAGGAAGTCTAGAAGGTTACCATAGGGAGCGTATTCGATGGCTATGTACAGGTAACCTGGAGAACGCAGAGACAGAGTAACATTAGGAAGAGGAGGTGATCCTGTAATATAGAGGACACTTAATAAATGTCCCATAGATGTCCCTTTATGATGTTTGATATCTTGGTATGAGATTCACTCCTTTGTGGCAACACGTAATGTATTTGACATCACAAGACACTCTCATGGTGATTTATATAATTAAGGCTGCTGCTAATAAACATTTCATCTACAAGCTCAGCTCTCCAAAAACTCTGACTCTGAGCTTGGATGGCCTCCCTGCAATCGGCCGGGAACAGACCCAGCTACAGCTGGTAAGGGGCTTGGCCTTTAACAGTTCTGTCTTGACACGGACAGAAGTAAAACAAACCTTTCATGAAATCCTCAGAGAGATCAACCAGATGGTTGAGGATTTGTTAATAGATGGCGGCTTCCCGCCAAAACAGAGTTTCTTCGGGTCATGAGGCAATTGTGCTTGTTGGAAGGGTTTCACCAGGAACAGACAGAGTTCCAACACAATAAGTTAATACCATATGTCGAAGGAAAGAATAGCGCGGCGATGGACATACTAGTTAAAGAACTGGAACATAATACACTCATGTTCCTTCTCAGCTACAAGAGATTATGGTAATCGGGACATGCTGTGTTTCCTGCAGCAACATCGATCCAAATCAATTTTCTTTGCTCAACATGAAACAAAAAAAAACCTCCCAAAATGCCAAAAACAGCAATTGAGTACCTGCTTGTGCTACCACTCCAAGCCAATGACTTTCTCTGTTGCAATAAAAGACATATTAACAACAGCAAAGACAGAGGCAGCACAGGAAGAACACATGCAAATTGTATGTCAAAGAAACATTACCCCCTGAA